GAGAGTCCTGTTTCCCTCTTCCCGACATTGCGCGGACCATGTACGAGGACGAGGCTGCGTTATCAGGCCGTTACTCACCTGTTCAGAATTATCGAGGCTCCGCGTAGTCATTTGCGGTATAAATTATGTTTGCTCTCGCTTGCACGAGTTGACAAGCTATTTTCTTGGTTAACGGAGAAACGCCACGGAAACAGATGGAAAACCTGCTGAAAGATTTTTGTGATCGAAAGCTGTTGGCGAATTCATTTTTTGGTGAAGATTGTTAGTGGCGCTCGTTCATAACTCACGAAACTTTTAGATCATCAGACTAAATTCTATAAGGCTGCATTTTTCATTACTAAAACTATATATGCAAATCAGTTGAAAATTGCTTAGACAATAAAAAATTAATTAATTCAATATTCTATGAGCAACTTCTGTAACGGTTTTACTACAATGATAAATCTATCTGTCGACCTCTAGATAAGTCAAGTTATTGCGGTCCGAGACATCTCAGAAACCAGAGATTTGGGTCGAAACCTTGGTCTCTGATCCTCTTAGGTCACGAGTAAGCTACCAAAGTCTACGCAAATTAACATTTTTATGGACAATTTCAGAGAAACTGAAATTTAACAAAATACAGAGTATCTTGAAGATCCCTGCTTATTTTCAACAGTAATTCAAATTTTAGAAAAACAATTATAAGACCCAAATACAAGTTACCAATAGCTTCATTCAGATAAAAAGTTTACCAAGCAACCTCTGGCGAGACAGAACACTCGTATCCGCGTGAAACACGTCGACACAACGATCCAGCTTTTAATCAGCGACTCGGTTTCGGCTGCGACACGGAGCGCCGCGCCAACTGTTCCAATCAGGCAGGAGGTGGACGTAGAATAATAGCGTCAACACCGCGAGACGTCGGGATACGTGCTGGTGTCACGGTTTCTCCACCGCGCATTTATTATACTTCTGGCGAGCGGTGTGCTCGGTCTCCTTCTTCCCGACGCTGTTCGTACCCCAAACGGCTCGCAGCAGCATCATCTGTTCCGCGGTCGCGGTTTCAGCGTCAATAATTCGCAAAAGGCTGCGGGGCAGCCTCTAACCGACTGATTTCACGCATCTGGCGTTTGGCGGTTTAGTCTGGCCCGGTCCGCGCCGGTTGCACGCCTAGAGGAACGCCGAAAGACGCCAGGCGACCAGTTTACGTTGGAGAGCGTGGAACACATTTACGTGGAACAAGACGACGGTAGACGAGAGAGACAAACCTGAAGAGCAAGAAAGAGAGGAAGCGGGTAAGAGCGAGAGAGATTAAACGAAGAGGAGAGAAAGACAGAGTGAGAGAGAGGAACGAAGGCAGAGAGAGATCCCGAGAGAAAGAGAAGGAGAGAAACGGGCAGTCCCTGCTTCGCCGCCGTGGTGGTCCCGTGATCAATATTCCTTACCCCCTTTGCCTTGGCTTACCCCTCCGGCGCGGTACGGGTGCCCCTTACCTCGTGAAAACTCTCCTTCTACCCTCGCCCACATCCTCGCCCACCTCCCTTCGGGGGGAGAACCCGGGAGAAACCCCTGAAACCCCTCTCGCACCCTCGTCTTAATTAGGAGTCTGAATCTGCGGCGGACACGCGTATAAGGGTAGGCTGGTGGAGATCGGAGGGAGGTGGTCGGGAGGCGATGGTGGTGGTGGTGGTGGTGATGGTGATGGTGGCGATGGTGTAGGTGGGTGTGGAGCTAGGGCAAAGCCAGACGAGCGTCGTGTCCGAAACATTATTCCCAACTTTGGTACGATCGCCGGAGCGTCACGGCCGCTGCACGACCCTTTTTATTATTCTCCGAAAATAAACACATTTGCGCTTCCTTGCTCTCTCGCGAGGCAGCGGCAACGGCAGCGGGCTGCAGACCTTGCCTCCAGCACGCCTTGTCCGTCCCTCGTTCTGGCCGAAAGAACTTCGCCTTGCACGCCGAGTAATTAGCTCTTGTTCCCCGGGAACCAGCTTCGCATTCGAATATAAGCTCGTATATGGAAGCCAATCCGCGAGTACTCTTTGTCTCCGTAGAGATTTTTATCTCCTTTTTTTTATGTGTATGCGCGGCGAGTTGTCGGCTGGTTCTTTAATTAAATCCTCCTGGGGCTGCGCGGCTTAAGACTGACTGAACGCAAACCGCGTGTGCTCTTATTGTCATTGTGGACGAATCAGTCCTTTGGCGAGCCGTGATTGCGTTTAGATGCATCTGTTGTGAAAATCTGAATACTTTTAGAACGATGGAATCGTTGATATTTATTGAAAATCCTTTTGCATAGATATTCTGAAGACATTTAACAAGAATTTATACAACTGAATTGCAACTGAATTAAATAATTTCACGTGACACTGTAAACGTAATATAAGGGAATTGGTGATATTCAATTTATTAATTCTATAATCTCCGCTCTAGCGTTCCTCCAGAACATCGCTTCACTTTTCCGAAACGCGAGCAAAATCTGCTCGGAAAACGACATCCGTCTCTCGGAATGGGACACGTCAAGTTCCACCGGCTAGGATCGCAACCACTGTGCCAGGTGCACCGTGACCTCCGTAAATCACATCTAACGAACTGCATTGAAAACTTCTGCCGCTTACCAATTTGTCCCCGACCAATTTCTTCTTGTTCCTTTCCCGCATTCCCGAAAGTCGCCGGGTAATAGTAGCTCGTTCCGTTCAACCGGCACGTTCACGGTTCTCATCAACAATAAGCGCGCCTTATTTTTGCGCCACGAGTTTCTTTGACAACGATCCGCGAATGGAAATTCGTACGCGTGTCCGGTTCGATGCCCGAGGTCGAATCGGGAGGGGAGAAAGCGTCGGGGGAATGCCTCGCGATAATGTCAAAATAATTAATTATCGGCGGAGGGTCGATCGGGTTTTAAAGAAGTCGCGACACGCCCGTCCCAGCCCGATATCACCCGAATCTTTCGCCCGTGAACGTATTTACATGCGTGGTACATACAGCCCCGAGTACATGGAGGGTGGGCGGCGGTGAGGTTGAACCGAGAGGATATTGGGGTTAGGCCATTCATTAGATTACGGGAATTCGGTGGTACCCGTTGTGGAGGGAGGAAGAGGCGATTAGGGGGGGAGTGGAAATGTGGGAGTGGGCGCGCGATCGAGGACCGAGCCCTCCACGCATTAACTGTCGTTACGGAATGAATCTTGCGGGAAATATGAAGATTATACCTTCTCGAAAATGACGAACAATTAGATCACCTGTAATAAGAATTTCTTTGATACGATGAAAATCTTTGGGCAATTGTTGAATATTAAATTTACTTAGGAATGGATATACAGGTAGTATTCATAACTATGATGTTGAGAAGTTACCGGAAAAGCTAAAAGACGTTATTTAATGTAGATGTTATGGTGCAGAAAATAAGAAATTTTTAAGGATTGTACAGGTAATACATATATTATTTGACAATTCATTAATTACAAGAGAATAAAGTAAACTTTTCTTTCTGTTTCAGAGTCGGCCTTCGCAAGGCGGGACTATCCCCGCCAAATCATGAATAAGGTAAGTGCAGATAATCAGACAGGCGATTAATAATTAGAAGGCGAAGACATCTAAATCGGTGCAAGGTTTCTCGGGCACACCGTATTTACCTTCGATACGGTGAAAGTTGCGCACGGTTACCAGCTCGATCGACGATTTGCACCTTCCGTTCGCGAGTACGAGCGAGTCAGTTACTAGGGAAGATCGATCCAACACCTTTAATCGGTTTTCATGCAACATGCCCCGCGTTCATTGCGTGCTCGTACTTTTGCTTGCTATTACTTCGGCGGCTTGTGCCATGCAATCAACAACGCTTTCATGAGTGAAAATCCACTGATAGAGCCGTAACAGTGCTCGACGACCCATATCTCAGTCGAATATTGAAATCCAGCAGAACTCGAATCGAATATCGAAGCGTTCAAAATGTATTGCAAGAGTCAGGTATTCGATTGCTGCGCGTGAACAGATGAATTTCACAAATAATTCGATGCTAAAGTTTCATACTGGTTATGTACCAAATTTTGAAACGAAAGCAACGAATTATCGTTTGATAAACATTGACTTCTACTTCATAAAAATTGAAATTTTCTTAAATGTATCTAACCATTCTTTCAAACGTACAATACTTATGCACATTACTTATGCAGCAACAAACTCTCTGAATTACCGAACCACGAACGTCCCAGGAAACTATATTTTCAGCAGACATGCAAAATAATACGCAGCCAATTACACGACTAATTCGTCCACATCCGAATATTCCACATCAAAGTCATATTTCGCCGAGAAATCACCGAGCGCCTCGGTACCCAGAGCACGATATAACGCCGAGCGTTGCATAAGCAGCGGATTAACAGAAAACTTTACGAGTCCATCGTTTCCGAAGTTGCCGGGGATAACTAAAATCAGAGGGGAAAGTTTTTAACTTCATTGCGCGCTTAGAAGTCGGTAACGCTGTAACCCGTGGGCTGGCGAAGGGGTTGGTGGGAGGAAGAGCGGGGACGAAGGGAACGTTACATGAAGTCCTTCACGCCCCCCTGGTTCCCGCATGTTTGTGTGCGCGCTGGCTTGCGCGTATATCTACCGGTGGATGTATATGTATAACCCGTGCCTCATTTGTAGGCCCTTTATGCGCCGTCTGCCTTTCCTCATTATGCATTGTACATGAGAAAACTTCCTTGGAATCTCTTTCCCTCTTCGTTCCGCGAACGCCGACAGCCTCCCTCCCTCCACCCCCATTCGACGGTGGGTGGTGTTGATCCCTTCACCCTCCGTCCACCCTCCACCCCCGATTCGTTCCTCTTCACCACTGTGTGCCCTGGCTGGTAGCTCTGCTTCTTTATAAACTTTTAATGACGGCAAAGCCTAATCGAATAAACGAGCAAGCATGCCCGGCCTCGCCCCGCGAAAGCTATCCAAGAAAATCAACGTTCGAATCTCGATTTTCGATACTGGAAGGCGAACGCTCGACGTCAGACGCCTCGTCAAACGATTGAGGGGTTTCCTCACGATCGTTAACCCCTTGCGATGCTTTTTGCTTGAAGAATTAGGGAGTTTGTTTGTTGGTAATAATGTTTATAATTTGATAAAGGCTACAGTGGTTGTTATATTAAATGTTTTACGTCTAACGTAAGAAGAGGCTTTGAAGTAAGTTTGATATTGCTATTTGTTTATATGTGAAGTGTTCTTTTTTATTCGTAACAGAGTTCTTGTTAGTGCAGCTTTTGACTGTGTACTTTAAAATCAGGAAATTAACATCAAATTATTTGTTAATTCGATATTTTTGGGCAAGTTTACCGAATCGTGTAAAAAATACATCGGTGCACGGGTATCGGTTGGTTGGAGTTTATTTAGTAACGTGTACAAACAAAACTGCGTCACTATTACTCGCGTAACCCATTGCAGTCCTTTCTTACCCTCCGTAAATAGGGGACAACGAAAACGTTAAAACCTTCGGCTCCTAAAATACGATTAAACTAACCCTTACTTACTTCTTCCGTTCACCCCGGTACGTACATCCTGCTTCGCCTTTATATACCTTGCTGCTGATCGTTGGTTACGACTTCTTTGGGACATCCACGGGATAATTCAAAATTTAGATGGGATCTAGATACAGTTTCTTCGAACAGAAACTTTTAATCACTAATACAAATACTCAAAAGACGGAGAAATACTTATAAATTCATTGCAAGAAAAATTACAAGCGGGCACTGTTACTTTATAAAAGATTTCAATATACCCAAAGCAACGTAGACATTTTAAAAACTTCGCAACGCCACTTTTTTCACTGTATTATGAAACAATCCAAAAAAATGCACAATCATCCACATTCAACTTATCAACTTTTAAACTTATATTTCGTTATTTTATTTCTCTTCTTTAATTACTAAAGAATGTTACATTACTGAATAATTGAACATCGGAAAAATTTTAAAAAGTGTAACAATCGTCAGTTCAGGGTCCAAAAAGACCCAGGCGCAGTACAGCAAACGTTAATACTGTAGTTCGTTCGTGAAACAGCATTTAAAGGAGTACGGAGAGATGAAGTGTTCCGGGCGCCATTTAGCGGCGGCACTCTTTCATAAAGGACCTTAATAAAAATCCCAATCTAAACAAGCTTAATTTACGTCCGCCACATAATTACCTACCCCCGGAGGCACAGACCCGACCCGTTCGCTCGCTCGCTCTTTTCCTCCTGCGGCGTTACCGGGCCACTTCTGGTGCACCACGGGCGGAAACAGTCCTCCGGGGTAGGAGTCGGAGGCGTATAGAAGGAGGCGCGTGGAGGGCTCTCTGAAAAATCTAAGAGGCTTAAAGCATTAAAAGGGTTATATAACATTCATTAGCAACGGGTCAGCCTTTGTGAAATTTCCCTTGGAAGCGGCTGCACTGGCTGGACACGCCGCCTTTCCGTTGTTCCCAACCCCGCCAACCCCTCCTGCCTCCCTTTAGCGCCACTCCAATTCCACTTCGGACGATATCTGTCTCGCTCTATCCCCTTGTTCACCGTCGTGCCGCGGTTCCCTCGTCTCTGGGGTGCAGGATAGTCACGTGAGCCGGAGTATCGTCGGGCGATGGGGGCGGCAGGATAGAAAGCGCCGTAGAAACCGGGAGGTTGAGGAGGGAGGGTCCGTCTCTGATGAAGATGTCGCACACGCCGGGGACCCAGGCGAGATTACTCGGGTTAGAACCCGTGGACCCTGGTCAGGGCACATGCTAATTGCTTTATTTGACATCAAGAAATAATGTACTGCTGTTCCACGCCACGGCTGCCGTCGTGCAGGGATCCTCGCGAGGAAACTAGAAACCCGCCTCGCCCCCGTGGCCCTCTTCGACTCCGTCGCCTTGTCCTTTCGTATAAATCTATGGGTCGCAACCTTGTCCCGTACACTCGTTAAGTCTCCTTAAGGTACGTCCGAGCAGTATTATCGAGCTGTTACCTGGAAGAACGTGTTTTACCGCTGTCCCTTCTTTCGGGGATCCTTTTAGATGATATTTTGGTGTAAGAAAGTTAGGTGAGGCAAAATATTTTCTTATGGTGAACGTGGCGAGGTTGAGTTTGTTGAATTGAATCGAAATTCGTGATAGGAATAAGGAATGAGTATCGATATACCAAACTTATAAGTTTGGAAAGAAGTTAATATATTTTTGTGTTTATGATTGAAAGAAAACGTATGAGATTTCGGAATGTATGGAGACACTAATAATTATGATATCTGGAAGCATCATATGTATTAAAAAGAAAGTACCAGAACTTTGAAAGATGTGAGAAAAGTTAAAGAATGTAATATAGAACATTCTTGTTGGAATGAAATGCTAGAAATGGAAGAAGGAACTATTACCTTCACCCCAAGTCCAATTTCTGAGTAAGATCCACAATAAATATAACTGAAAGTGTTTGCATCTGGAACGTTCGGCCAGTTGATGGCCGACAGAACGTGAGGTGCTTGGTCACTGAGAGGAAGGGTCCATTTGCCTCGGTCCTAATAACCTTTAGTCGGTCCAATAACCGTTTCTCGAAGTTACATATGGAGGAATTTGTATTCGAAATCGGACAGATCCGAGGGATGATCGTAGCTTCCAACGCGGGGCACGCGTCTTTCTCGTAAATATGCCTGCTCGGTTGGCCGAGTGGCGTTGCCTTTGCAAAAGCGGAAGGGATAGAGGACTACGTACCACTACAGAGCGTTAGGGTCGGCTTCGACGTCGACAAGGGTGCATTTCATCTTCGAGACCGTCAGCTCGGAGACCGATCGGCCGTACGCTCGATGTCGGATCATCCATCTTTTATCGAATCGAACCTGATAGTCAAGTCGGCGCGCGTTGTTGCACGCAACTTTGGCCCTGGAAGACTGTCTCTCTTCCCATAGCCATCTGTGTATCAGTAATTACCGTTTAAAATGCATATTATTAATTTGGAGAAAAGGTAGACACGAAGTAAACGAAACTACGTGATGTCGATCATGAATGGTAGCTACAATTATCAAAAATACAATTTTTGTTCAAACTTGCCTACGTTTCTGCCCGTAATGATATCGATAAATGAGCTTATAGCCATACATAAATTTATATTTATTTTATGTTAGAAAAATATGTTCCATCAGAATGTGCAATACGTACGGGACAAGTAAGTTTTTTCTTTCCTTTATACTATTTCCGTCGAAGCGTTTCGAGATTCCTTCGAAAGTTTCGCATAAATATTTCAACCCGCGAAAATATAACGAGATTCGAGTGATATATCATTCATCGGTCACGGTTGGTCAGCTGTCCACTTCCACGTTCAATTTTTATGATTAAACTTTTCGTCTGTCTCGTGTGTGCGGTCGCGCTGTGATCGTGTTTCCGAGTTTATCAATATTAACCAGGAGCTTATCGATTGGACACGTGAAGACACTTACGGGGAGATTTGAAGTTCATCTCGTTGTACAGGGATGTAATCTGTCACAAGAGGAAAAATAATATTCCGGTTATATTTTGTTTGGCCAACTTTAAGGGCGAAATAATTAGATACGCAGTGTTAT